TACCAACATCATCAGGACCTACAAATTGAAACTGATCCAAAGTCACCCCATTCACACAGTGACTGGATACATCTGACCCAACAGTTAAATGATTGCATCAAGCTTGGCTCTTTTCTAAGTTATTTTCTCCCACTGCAAAACTGTTGTTTAAAACATTGCAGTGAGCAATGAATGCAGTTAAAGATAGCTTAGGGGGCACTGGGGCTTCAGACAAGTCCCTTATTACCATAAATCACTCTGCTGGATGTGAATTTCAGGTATGATATGAGCAGAAAAATAACTCTTCCTTGCTGCTCGTATTGCTACCCCATCAGATTGAAGATGCTTTCTCTAATGTGTTTTGTTAGAAAAGAGTCCAAATTCCTGTCATCAGCACTCCAGTCTTCACCCTTCCTGTTCCATATATTGGAGTTCCTCCATAAACCAGGGAGCTTTTTTGGAAGCTGGATGGAGATGACACTCAGGCCCTAGTCAGCTCCCAATTCCTTTTTGTGGCCAGAGACTCCACAGGTTCACTGGCAGAAGTGTCCATATAACCCCCTTGGGTTTGTCAGAAGCCTAATGGATCCATGAGTCTTTGAGGGTGGACTATTCCAAAAGATGCATCATCTCTACAGGGGCATAAAGAAAGGACTGTGATCTTAGTCTTGATCAAAACAAGGCAAGGTGTTGATCATTACCATTCTAGCCTTTATTTCCCAATATCTCTCCAGGAATGTGGTTGCAGTGCAGATGTACAGGGAGGAATTGCTGAGTGGTACTTGAGAGCACAAATCAGAGGCTTTGGGTATCAGGCCAGGTATGGGTAAGTAAAAAGAGATGAATGGTCCATGCATTTTAACAGATGGATTAGTGATTGGATGGATGGATGGGGGGTGGGGGGAGATGATAGATTGATCTCCAGCCCCCAGCTGACTTTATTCAATGTGATTATCTTCCCTCTGAAGCTGCTTTGGTAAGGAAAACAATCTGGTTCTCCCAGCAAGGCAGCCCTTTTTGCAGAAATAGGAAGAAAACTTCAAGGCAGCTACAGAACATTAGACTTTGACATGACTTCAGGAAACTATCCTAGGTTATGGACACTGGGAGAGTCCAGCCTTAGCAATCCAAGACAAGGGGATTTTGAAGGTGCTTAACTTGAGCTGCAAGGTGTCCAACTGCTCTTACTAGGCTCTGGACAAATCACAATATTTAGGAAGCAGCACAGGAAATATGGAGGATGAAGTGAAATGCATAACAAGCTCTGAGCAATTTGTATGCCATTATGTTGTGTTTGCTGTAATTGTCCAGCTCCATGTGAAGTCCCCAGTGACTAGTGACAACAAGTTATACACTTTTCCACTCCACAATTACATCAAAGCACCATCCCTGAGTCTTTCCTGACTGGGGTTGATATGAAACTCCTTAAAATGCCTCTACAAATATCCATGGACTGGTCAAACGTGGAGCAAAAGCTGGAAAGTACTAGAGCCATGTCTTGAGATGTTTTCCCCATAAATAGAAAGACCTGCTGGAAGAACCACTTGACACCTTGCTCTCAAGTCATCAGAAGTAATATGCTTTAACCAGATGGATACTGGACAATGCTGATGAAGACAGCAACACTGGATTGAAAACATGGAAGCAGGTTTTGCCTCTGGTTGATGAGCACAGTTCCCAGCTTCTCAGGAACATGTGATATGGGCTTACTTGCAGGCTGACAGCCAAGGGAGGAAAGGTTGGTGAGGCATCGCTGCTCAGACACAACATCAACACCTTCGTGGGGAGAGGTTTGGGGAGTGCATGAGTGCCATGATGGGGTCAACTGTGGCCAAAGGACATGATGATTGGAGAGAGAGCTACCTGCTTTGATTGCACTGTGATGGCAATAAAAGTTGGACTCCAACATATCCATAGTATTGCAGTCACCTGGTTCCCCTCCCACTCACTCTGGGTACCAATACTTCTTGCATGGCAGAAGTAGTATCTCGTTAATACTATACAATGCATTTCTTGCCAGTTCTTGTCTTTCTTTCATCATTGTGGTTTTCTCAAGCTGAGTTCAAGATGTATCCTGCTCTGTGTAACACAAATGATACTCTTCAGACGCAGTTCAGATATTACCATCCAGGAAGCCTCATTATTGGTGGGATCACTTCTCAGCTCTTTTCCATCTCTGAAAGGATATTATTCAATGAACACCCTAAAAGAATGGTTCTTGATGAACCAATGTAAGAAAGCCAGGTATCATTTTGTGTAGTGCAAGATAGGTTGATCAAAGACCATTAGAAATGCTAGAAGTGGTGAAAACAAATTCTTCTGAAAATGACTTTGGGGGAAATGTGCAGGTTGTTGTGCTTTTTCTTATCCCACCTGCTGCTATGTTAAATTTTCTCCTCCTCTGTTCTAAACTTCACCCATTCCTGTTTATACCATATTGAGTATAAAAGATTTGTCTTGTCTTATCATCTTATCTTACTTTTTTATTTTATTTGTGTTCATATGCACATGAAACACACCCCTTTTCTTTCACATCCCGCTACATTATGTAGCTTAGGGAGATGCCACAAGGCTAGTATTTTGGCAGCAACCGGCTTAGATGGCATCTTTGAAGACATACAGAATCATCCTAGGGCTGGCTAGATAGCCATCAATTTCCTTGGATCCCAGGAAAGTATAAGACCAGAAGAGTGCTCTGACCTCATAGCTGAGGATTGTCCATCCTTTCCACCTTACCTGCAGTTGGCACAGGAAGGACTTGTTGGCTGGGTCTCCAGAACAGGCTTTGGGGTCAGGAAGGACAGAGAGGATGGACATGATGTTGTCCACTGGTAGCTCAGTCACCTTCCCAGCCACTCAGAGACATCATACCTGGAAAGCAGAAGTTCTTCTCAGTGTTTTTACAGGGTGGGTGGAGCATTGAGGCAACCCTCACTTATGATCCTCTGTGGTTGGAAGGGTAAAAATGTCCTTCTTGGACTATGCCCTTCAAAAATAAAATTGAGGTAAACTTCTTCTGGTAGTTAGTTTTGGATAAGTAGAATAGGTCTTCCCCATAGTCACTTCAATTTCCTTGTGTTTTTATGGTCTTTCATTACTTTCAAACTCTTAACACTGTAAATAAAGGATACCTGTAATATCGTGCGAGACTTTATGCTAGGATAGTTTGCTGCAAGAGCAGGAAGGATCTCATTTCACTCTTCAATCTTCTCTTGTTTAGCACTGTACCGAAGAACTACCAGCATGTCCTGTCCTTAGCATTTGCTGTGAAAAAAATCAACGAGAACCATGACATGTTACCCAACATCACCCTCGGCTTCCACATCTATGACAGCCACTTCAGTGCAAAGATGACTTACCAGAACACCTTGAACCTTCTTTTTAGCCAGACTCAGGAAAGAACTCTTCTAAACTACCATTGTGATCCCCAGAAAACTCCAGTCACTGTCATTGGGGGCCTTGATGCTGACACCTCCTTCCACATGCCTACTATCTTAGGCATCTACAAGATTCCACAGGTAAGATTACCTCTCTGTGCTTTGACTGCAGCTATTTACCTGGAACAGGATGCTTTTCTGAAATGTGATTTCTACATATGTGGATATTTATCTTGGCCCCAGCACTTCCTTGTGAAAAGGGGGCAAAGTGGTGCAAGAAGAGATTCGTGCACCTCACAAAGGATTGCAAAAGGAGGGTAGGCCAATCTTTTCTGACAGCCATGCCTGTTCCATCAGCAAATGGATCCAACCCTAAACCTGTATTTTGCTGAAGATGTGTCAATGCTCCTGGTGCTGGGCATGGTTTCAGAAGACTCAGGAAGGAATCCCTATCAAAGCTGAAGCTGATAGAGCGACCTGAAGCCAGACACCACCTTTAGTTACCCCTACCTCATCTGGCTAGTCTACTGAACTGAAGTTACAAGTGAGTTGAAGCACCATGCCTGTTTGATTCCTTATCTTAGAGTTTGCTGGTATACAGATACTGTAGAGCAAAAAATGTCATTGCAATCAGGCAAATATCTGATTATCCAACATGCTGTATAGATCACAGGGAATTTGGGTTCTTTCTTTTTGACTCAGGTCTCATATAATGTATTTTCTCCAAAAACAAGTGACGAAAGCCATGTTCTTTCTTCATATAAGATGGTTCCCAGTGAAGAATATCAATACACTGGGGTTGTTCATCTTCTAAAGCATTTTGAGTGGAAATGGATTGGCATCATTGCAATGGATGATGATAAAGGGGAAAAATTTGTGCAAACCGTGTCAACTCTCTTTAATGAGGATGGCATCTGTACAGCTTTCATTGAAAGAATGCCAACCCAGAGCAACATTCTTGAAGTGAACGATTTGTTGGACCACTCTTTCAACATGACCTTTTTTCTGAGCAAGACCAATGTGAAGGTAATTGTGGTCAGTGCCAACACCCATATGATGTTAGATTTGCAGCTGGTGCTGAACATTGGAGAACTGCATGCAATGAGACCAATATGCAAGGTATGGGTTATGACAGCAGATTTTGGTTTCTCATCAGAGACATTTCACAGATCTCTAGATGTACAAGTCTTCCATGGGTCCTTATCCTTTGCAGTTCAATACCATGAGGTGAAAGGTTTCCAATATTTTCTGCAATTCTGCAATCCCCATTCCAATGAAGATGGCTTTATCAAGGTCTTCTGGGAGCAGGCATTTAATTGTTTATTTCCAGATAGAGAAGTGGGTAAACAGACAAACAATGTTTGCACTGGGCGGGAGAAGATGGAGACTCTGCCTGGACCCTTCTTTGAAATGAGCATGACCAGTCAAAGCTATAGCATCTACAATGCTGTCTATGCTGTGGCACATGCTTTACAAGCCATGCATTCATCCAGGAACAAAGACAGAGGTATGGCAGATGCAGACTGCCTGAATTGTCTCAAGAAGCACAGTTTTCAGGTAAGGTCTTACATGGAAGGCATACTTGAATAAAAGAGGCCACACTAATGGTTGAAATGTGTCCAGGTGATAAAGTCTCATTAATAAAACAATGAGGACAACTCCACTATTCCATGATTCCATGCTGCAAAGTCATGACAATAACACAACTTTTATGGGCCAGAATAATAACTGAACAATTGATTGTAGAACTGACAAGAGCATTGGCAAACCTGGAGCTAATCCTGAGTAGGATGCTTCCAATGGTACCCAATTGCCAGTAGGATCCACCACTTGCACAATGGGGATTTAGTATTTCATACAGGAGCTAGAAACTAGCAGAAATACTCATCCCTGGAGCAGGTCATGTCTGTGGAGTTTGGATAACAAAGTTCTACAAACCATCTTGAGCCAGAAACAAGCCTTTTTGCTCATTTCTGGACTTGTTCTTTTGGCTGTTAAATCACTGTTGTACCAGCAGTGGAATAAAATGCAATTAGAACAAGAGTTGCATTCATTTATTAGCAGATCATTGGAAAATGGGTAACATAATGCTGATTTTAGAAAAGGGCAAAGAAACTTGCCATGGAATTGATGTGCTGTGTTTTTCTTGATGAATTAATGGGGATCATTATTAAAGAAGCATTTCCTAAACACATAGGATAATGACATTCATTGTAGAGGAACAGTCATGGCCTCCTCAAAGGACTATTTTGTCTCATCAATCTGCTATCATTATTTTATAATGACAACAGAAATGGAGGTAGGACAAGATGTTAGATGTTTGGGTTCTCAGAAAAGCTTTTGAAAAAGACTGTAGTTTAGCAGAAGTGGTAGTGTTCATCCCAGAAGTAGAATCAACTGAAGGTACACATGTAACTTTGCCCTGCCCTGCCCTGCCCTGCCTTTAATGACAGTATTAAACATAGAGGTCCACAGAATTGCACATGACACATGATCACATGACAACCAAGAGCTGCTACAAGAAGGATCTTGCAAAGTGAAAAATCCAAAACTAACTAGTTCTGAGAATCCAAAGCTAACTTCACACCTTATTTTCATTGTATCATTGACCTCATTTTCTTGTGTTCCAGCTGCACCCTTTCCTCAGGAGTGTCTCATTTAACAATAGTGTTGGGGGCAGGGTGTCATTTGATGAGAAAGGAGAACTGTCAACTGGATTTGATGTTATCAACTGGGTGACTTTTCCAAACAAATCTCTCCTAAGAGTAAAAGTAGGAAACATGGATCCTCAATCATTAACTGGTAGAACATTTTCCATCAACGTGACATCCATTAAATGGCATGGCAGTCTTAACCAGGTAGGATTCGATTAGAGTGCCCAGATCTAAATCATAAAGTTGGAAATGTCCTGTCACATGTAAACTGTTGTGTCTTATCATCATGGTTCAGTGATGGTCCTTTAGGTAAAAATTCTACTCATAGTGATTCTCAATATAGTAGGTCTTTCTGAGCGTTATGGGGGAAGATTCCTGTTTCTTCTGTCCCCAGTCTGAAACATTGCAGCATGCAAGGCCTTGAATTTGAAAGAGCTGAGCAGGGCAGGTTAGGGGTGGCACCCAGAGAGGACTTGATGGCACACAACATCAGTGACAAGAGGGGAAAATGAAGGTTGAGGAATCTGCACTCCTCTGATGCTTATAGAAGCTCTTGAAGGAACTGGAGAAGGTACCCTGTGAAAAGAAGGTGAAGGGAAACCAAAGCCCTCTTGTCTGATATTTTCAAGAACTCCTGAAAGAGCTGGATGAGTAAAGAGCCACAGCTTCAGTAGGGAAATCTACTTGTTTTTTCCAACCTTTGCTTTGAGACAATATTTATTTATTTAAAACATTTCTATGCTGCCCCATTTGCAAAAAGCCTTGGGGCGGCTTACAAAACAATAGCCCACCTCCTATACAATTCTTGCTCTCCATGGGGAGGTGGAACAGTGCCCAATGGGATTCCACTCCAGAACTACTGGTAGCTTCCAAGGCAGGAAAAGGTTGTGAGGAAAGAGGAGGAAGGTCAAGGAAGCTTCCCTGACTTCCACGTAGGAAAGAAGGTGGGATATAAATGTAAGAATGGAGGGAGGGGGGATAAATAAGCAATCACTTTTTCTCCTGGATAGGTTGTGCCACTCGCCTTGTGCAATGACCACTGTCCTTCAGGACAGAGGAGACGAAGGAAGGAGGGGAAACCATTTTGCTGCTACAATTGTGCTCCATGTCCAGAGGGGAAGATCTCTAGCCAGAAAGGTAATACGTACCACCCCAATTCCATTTTGAAAGTGTGTGTGTGTGTGCGTGTGTATGTGTGTGTGTTCAATGCATTTATTTAATTGTATATTTATTTCCTGTGACTTCCTGAGAGAGAGTTTGTGGTGCAGGGAGATTCTGCCACTGAATGACTCCTTGCTGCAGTTGAGAAGAGATATTAGATATCATGAAGGGCACCATCCCAAGCATGTTTAGCTAGGACAAAATCCCTTGCTGGACCTCCATACATTCCCTAGCCCTCTATAGACTGCTGGGTATTCTAGGGCTTTTTTTCTTTCTAAACTTTAATAGGAATTGACCCTCCCTTCATTATAAAGGGACAATGCAAGTCAGCTTCTCTGGATATTGGGGATTTGTCTACATTGCCCCAGATCTTTGGAAGTCAGAGCAGAAACTTAGATTCAGGGCCTGAAGCCAGACCTTCTACAGTTGCAATTCATCCCTCCAGAGTTCCTTGGATGGGTCATGCCCCCATAACCCAACCTAACTTATGTCTAGCTTGCTTTTTGTATTGTGAGTTTCAAAACAGCATAAACCAAGAATAAAATTATGAACACAAAGAATATTACAGCTTGTGCATATGAAATTTAAGTGCAGCTAGTGAAAGGGATAAGCATATAACATATATCCCTATATATTTTATGTATAGCAAAATATACTATCATTATTTTGGATAATTATTCAGATTTCAGTAAAGGTAGGCCAGCTGCATGTATCCCTTAATAAATTGTACCCAAAAATACATTTTCTGTGCATGTTAGTACTTTGCACCTGCAGGTTTTCTTTCCTTTTTTCTTTTTTTCAACTAAATTGATCTGGAATTTGGCACAACTGTAGAACTCACCAAGTGCATCATGAGCACACATTTCTAGCCTTACGATGTAAGTTCTCTTTCTTGTGGGTAATACAGTTTTGAGAGCTACTGCCCCTAAACACAGTTTGAGAGATCAAAAAGATATTCTAGAAGCCTAGTTCTGACATTGGAGACAAAATTCTGACTTTGGAACTGGGAATCATAAGCCTGACCCCCTCCCCTTTGCAGGCAGCCCAGAAAGAAGCTTGCTGCCTCTTTAAGACCTGGAATCATACCATGGAAAGGGGAAGGGAGATTTCGTTGAGTCAGAAGAGGAGTTTACTAGCTATCTTGAGGCATCACTAATTTAATGAAAATGCAGGGTTTGAAGATAAAGAGCCAACAAATGCCTGCATCGCATGAGCAAAAGTCCTTGAGTTTTGGGGTTTACATCCATTGCCATAGAACTGTATCCTTTGAGACTTCTGATGGGGAAACTAATTGTCCCAACCATGGAGGCTATGGACTATGGAGACTCCCATATCCCTTCAGTTCAAGCATCCCCAGTTGCACCTGATTAGATTTAATTTTACACCCTGTCTAAAAATCTAACCTGGCATTCTTGTTTTTACAGATGCGAATGAATGTTACAAATGTCTGCCAAATCAGCACCCTAGCACGGAGAGGAATGAATGCTTCCTGAAAGCTCTAAACTTCCTATCCTATGATGAACCTTTGGGCATCGGTTTGGCTATTTTGGCTGTGACCCTTGCTGTGATCACAGCATCAGTGCTTGGAATCTTCCTTACCCACCGGCACACCCCCATTGTCAAAGCCAACAACCAGAACCTCACTTACACACTGCTCACCTCCCTCCTTTTCTGCTTCCTCTGCTCCTTGCTCTTCATTGGCCAGCCTCAGAAGCTCATCTGCCTCCTGAGACAAAATGTTTTTGGTGTCACCTTCTCAGTGGCCATTTCTTCTGTCTTGGCAAAAACCATCATGGTGGTGCTGGCATTTGTGGCTACCAAGCCAGGATCCAAGATGAGGAAATGGGTGGGGAAAACGCTTGCAAACTTTATTGTGCTCTGTTGCTCATTTATACAAGCCATGTTCTGCATGGTGTGGCTGTACACAGACCCTCCATTCCCACACTTGGACATGAACTCTCTCCCAGAAGAAATCATAGTGGGATGCAACGAAGGAGCAGCTGGCGCCTTCTACTATGTTCTTGGTTACCTGGGACTTCTCTCCACCATCTGCTTCCTAGTGGCTTTCTTTGCTCGCAAATTACCAGACACTTTTAATGAAGCCAAGTTCATTACATTCAGCATGCTGGTATTTTGCAGTGTGTGGGTGTCTTTTGTCCCCACGTATTTAAGCACTAAGGGGAAATATATGGTGGCTGTGGAAATTTTCTCCATCTTGGCCTCTGGTGCTGGTTTATTGGTTTGTATTTTTTCTCCCAAGTGTTATATAATTGTTCTGAAACCTGAACTGAACAGTAAGAAGCAACTAATGAGGAGAAATAAATAAACTTAGTTTGGTGCAATCCTAATCCTGTTTTCTTAGATATAGGTTATACTGATCTCACTTTTTCCCTAAATAAAGTGTATTTTGGACTGCAACCAAATAATTGGTGTTTCTCCCAATGTTTTGTGATGAGGCATAATTACTCTACTGTACAGCCTGTTAATTAAATAAATTAATCAATCTGTTCAGCCTGTTTCTCTTGAAAGCTTGCATCTCTCGCATGCTACTCAGTTCATTTTCCTTCCATTTTGGTTGATATAATAGTATATTTTAGAATATGATTCTTTTAACCATTGCAGAAAATTGTCTAGAGTGGCCACTGGTTTGTGAGTGCTTCAGTGACAGGCCAGAGCAGGAAAAGGGGGACCAGGGCCACCTCCTTTTCTTCACTGTTGTCATGCTGCTTCTCATCCTGCTGCTTTCTCACTTGCATGTGTGAAGAACTTGTCTGGTGAGTGAGAGGGGTGGCAGGTATGCAATGGATGGTGATTTGTGATGAAACATCTCCATTTCTCAGGAAAGGAGAGAGAGTGAGTGAGAGACAGAATGTGAGAAAGTAGCAAGGAAACCATTTCATGGTCCACAAAATGAGAAAACAGGATTCTTTTTCCTCATGCACAAAGAAGATCATTAGGAAACTAAGTAGCAGATCTTGTTTCATGAGGTAGATGTCAGGTCACCATTTCCAATGCAATTTCTCAACCCTTGACTTGCAACTTCCCCTTAATGGAAGTAACCCTTGATAGGCATTTGCATGAAACTTTGGATACTAGTATACAAGACAATGAAAGATTTAATGTAGATATTATGGGTGGCTACCTCTGGGATCAGTGATCCCACAACTCTGTCATATCTTGTGAAAGCATGTTGTTATGGCTTTCAGGGGTTTCCTACTATCTGTGAGTAGTGGACGGTATTGGTTGCCAGTTGAGTACTTGTAAAATGGAGCAACAGCTTCAATTGTTGGGTAGCCTCCATTGCATACACTCTTTGCATCCTTTTCTGTGAAGCAACATCTCTAGGACTTAGCTCCACCATCCTGCCTCTGACTGCCATTTAACTCCAAGAAAGCAATGAAGCACACATAAGGTGTTTATTAAGAGTGTCCCCATGAGCAGCCACAATTTCCTGAAGAGCACAGCCCTTGACAACCACAATTTCCTGGTTAAAAGAGCATGGGAAGACCATAACTCACCATGTCAAGTAAACAAACCATTTCCGTGTTGTCGGTTTAATAGAATCCTGTGGTGAGTATTGTGGCATTTCTTGTGTTCATGGGTGAGGAAATAGGAGGTGATGGTTCCAGTCATGACAGATGAGCACATGTATGACCAATGATTGGTTTTCTGGAAGGGTAGTTTTTTATGATGCTTCCCACAGTGTATTCTTCAATGGGGCTCTATTTCAAGGACAAATATGCAGCAATGCCTCCAGCCATTTGGGTGGCTGTACCTGATGCCAAAGCGGGGATTGTTTGTTTGTTTATTTATTTATTTAGAGTTTTTCTATGCCATCCCATTACTAAAAGTCTCTGGACAGCTTACAGAGGACAAAAAACCAAAAAGCAAGAACAAAAATCCATAACAACAACAACACACAACGCACTGTATCCAATAAGTAAGGATAAAACAAGGATAAAACCAATTAATTGTTAAAATGTCAGGAAAATAAAAAGGTCTTTGCCTGATGCCAAAAAGAGTAGAGCAATGGCTCCAGGTGAACCTTCCTGGGGAGCATATTGCACAGTCAGGGTGCCACCACTGAAAAGGCCCTTCTCTGAGTAGCTACCCTCCTGATTTTCTTCAGAGAGGGTTCCCAGGGAAGGGTTCAGGTCATAAGGTTCAGGTCACAAGGGGTTCACCAGGAAAGGAGCCCTGGAAGACCATTAGCAAGGTCCCTCTCCCGTGCCAAGTGCCGCTGCCATTTGGACTGCTGGACCTGCTGTAGAGGAGGCTTCTCTGTTCCACCTCTGCAGGTCTGCTAGCATTTGCAGACTTCCTCTTGGCTTAGCTTGCTTTGGAAATTGGATTTTGGTATTAATTGAATATCAGATTTATACAAATGTTCGTGCAAGCAAAACACCATACATGGACCATAGCATTTTAAGAATGTCCCTGCACAACACATGCTGCTGTCATCTGTTTAATTAATTAAATTGTATTCTTGATTTTCAATGATGTTTTAAACCTGCCTTATGTGCTGCTGCCAAGATGTTTTTTTAAACGCTTGATATTGATACAACTATTTTTTAATGGTTTTTGTCTTACTTTTGGAATTTTTATGTATATATTCTATTTATTGTTTTACCTTATTTATTTTGTTTAATTATGATAGCTTAGTTACGATTTTACTGTAACTAATTCCTTTGTAATTATGAATGTTCATGTTGTGTCTTGTCTGTTTTGTGCTGCCTGTGGATTTTAATATGATGCGAACTTTCCAGAAAGTCTATGGCTAGAAGGGTGGCATATAAATACAATAAATAAATACAATAAATAATGAGGGATACTGCTGCTATATTTTTAGGTCTTTTTATAAACAAAAACACTTTGTTTAACAAATAATAACAATAACCCCTTTTCAAGGCCATCCTAATTGGTGACAATCACTACTTCCTGTGGCAGTGATGTCCATAATGTTACCATGTGTTTTACAAAGCAGTCCATGCTTGATCTCTCACCAATGAGCTTCTTGGGATGAACCTACTGAGCTCTAGTATAACAGGAGCAGGAGGAAAATGTCTCCCTTGCCATTTTTTCCACATCTTGCATGACCTTAAAAATCACACCTCCCCTTCCTTATTCCCCTTTTCTCTGAGCTAAACATTCTGAATTGTTGCAGTCACTTCTCACAGGGGAGCTAATCCAGCCCAGTGATCACTTTAGTTGCCTTTTCCTGTACTTTTTGAAACTCAATGCAATTCTTTTCAGGCAAGGAAACTAGAACTACACACAATATTCTAAGTGTGGTCATACCAAGGATTTGTATATCATCACCAACACCAACTATGTAATAGCAACATGCAGTGGTTGCAACATGAATGGCAACCCTAGTGGTTGAGAAAATGCATTGCCTACAAAGATACTCTGCACCTCCTTTGCCTCCTGGTGGTTGATATTTGAAAAGGAGATTTTTGTGCTGCTTCTGAGAAGATTTTCCTCATGGTGGGTCTCTTACACAGTAATAGATAGCTATGTCTTCAGGTTGTAGGTCACTCAGTTGCAGGATCACTTGGCTTTTTGAAACGCCCCTTGTGATAGTGATCCGGTTTTGGAGATCCGGGTTATAGTAACTGCTTCCACTGTTTGTGAGGCGTCCAGCCCACTCCATTCCCTTCCCTGGAAGCTGGCGGATCCAGTCCATGTGGTAGGTTGTTATAGAAAATCCCGACACTGTACATGTCAGCCATATAGTCTCCCCTGGCTTCTTGATGCCACCTCCAGATTCTGTGAGGGTAATCTGTGAAGAAATGCCTGTAGGATGGGAGAGGAGAGGAGAGGAGAGGAGAGGAGAGGAGAGGAGAGGAGAGGAGAGGAGGGGGGGTTTAATGAGAAAATTAGGGATCAAACAGTCATATTGCAGACCTAAGGAGATAAGTTTCTGTCTTCCTTACATGCAGGGAAGATAATTAAGAGACTCAGTACTTTCTTCAGTTCCATGATACAAATGATTTCCAATGTATTCCAGGACCTGAAAAAGTCTACCAGGATCTGTGAATTATCTCTTTCTAACTTCACTTCCCCCTTTAAAGACGGCCACTCCACAACCTCATTTGCATGCTGTTTTGGGTGACTCTCATGTAAGAGAGAAGCAAAGACTGGATAATATGAAGAAGGGGTCATTCTCACCAAGAGTTGAAATTCCCAATCATCTCCCTGCATGTAGCTCATCATATCTAATGGAAGTCGGTGTCTAAGGTGAAGTCATCCTTCTTGGAGACTCACTTCTGCATTACAATCAGGAGAGGGAGAGACCTATTGGATTGTTGTCATTGTTTGTGGTGATGGTGGTGTTACAATGGTTTTTATTGCTATTATTATTATCATGCTCCCTTTATTCTTCATGTGTAGTATTATTTGCTATTATCTGGGGGGTGTTATTTGTTGTTGTTTGTTATTTCATTTGTATATCTCCACTTAGCCAAAGCTCTTATGTTTGGTTCATTTTTTAGGTTAAAAGTAGAATAGTGCTGAAGCATTAATGTAATATAAACTTAATTTACATGATGCAACAATGTGGCATGGAAAACTGGCCATGTCTGGTTGTCATGCCATCCAAATCAGGCAAGTTTTCTGTAGCTGGCTTATTTTTCACTTGTAGCTTCTGTGTTAGAAACATAGAAACAGAGTGAGTCAGAAGGGGTCTCCTGGACCATCTAGTCTGACCCCAGCTCCAGCCAGCTCCACTGCTGACATACTATGTGCATGTCCAAAAGAGCACTTGGCAGCAGTGGGATTCTGCTTTGAAGACCTTATTGCTTTGAAGACCATATTGTAGTGATCCAGAAGCTGTTGTAGTAGCCCCCAGTGCTTGTGGTATTTTCCTAAATCTGCTAAAGGAGAAAGGTTTGCAAAGAATTGTATTGGAGTGAGATGATCTGCTGCAGCTCTCCGTGCTGTTGATATTTTATACAGGAGAAACACACTGTGTATAGATATAGATAGTTGATATAAATATAGATATAGATTATAGATATAGATATGGATGATATTGATATAGAGACACACATAATTGCAATGAATATTTTGTAATGTGAGACTGCAAACAATATGAATGAGACATATAGAAACAGAGTGAGTCAGAAGGGGCCTCTCAGGCCATCTAGTCTGACCCCTGAAAATTTTGCGTAGTTGGCAGAATTCGAACCTGCGCGGGGACACCCCAATGGATTTCTAGTCCATCACCTTAACCACGCTGCCACGACTACGCCTTAACCATATATGCAGCATAACAAGCTGAAAGGGAGCTGTTTCCAGCTGTGGAATGCAGAAGTGCATGCATCA